AGACACTATTTTTTAAAAGTCAATTTCCATTTTGCTCTGATATGTAAGGTTGTAAATGTGTAACAGCATAGACAACTGTTCCTCAAATGCAAACTTTAAAAATGAATTTTTTCAAAGTGTTCAGGGAGATGAAGAGATAGTGAACTATAAATTTTCAGGAAGACAATTCCTTTAAAATACTCCAGATTTGAAATGCTAGACTTCTATACTCTCCTTTTCAATTAATGTCTTTTATAGAAACAAACAAAACCACACACACAAAACCAGAAACCAACACAACTTTTATATAGCACCTCTTTTATAAGAACCTCAGTTACAAAAAATACTAAATCCCTGAAGGAAGACCTCTTGGTACAGATGAAATGGGAACTTGTATAAAAAACAGCAAAGCAAATTCCAACACAGTCACATATTGACATATAATTTCTATCTTCATAGATAAAATTATTCCAGGAATAATGCTTTCAGTCATCCACTCCAAGTGATGCAAACCTGTTAAAATCACATGAATTCTGAGTTTCTGGTATGGGACACCTGATGGCCTTTCTCTTCTTAGATGCTTTCTTCTTTTTGCGGGACTCAGACTTGGTCTCTGTCACCTTCTGAAAGAAGTGTGGAGATACACTTGACTTCACTGTATTCAACAAAACCTGATAAAGCTGAGTCATTTTTGGAGATGAACTAAACATATTTTCCACGGAAGGTGTTGATTTAAGCTCTTGATACAGACTGTGCACAAGGGTCCCACTATAAAGCCTGTTCAAAGGAAGGAGAGAATCCTCGTTTAAAACCACACTTCAGCAGAAGTACAGAAACATGCTGCTCAGTGGAAAAAAAAGTCTCAACTACACACTATATTCAACAGTGGGCTCCTAAAGAATACCTATTCTAATCAGTATTTTTTTCCATATTCCCATCTTTAAAGAAAGGAGTCTAAAAATACTCAAAATGGAATATCCTTACCTACTTAAGTCTGGCTCAGAGAGAGGAGTGGAGAGTAGCTGGTTGAGATACAATCCCATCTGAAGGCAGCACTGCCACTGGCAAAAACTGTGTGCAGCATCTAAGTCAAAGTCTTTACTTTGTGATTTCTTTTCCTTCCATTTCAGGAATTGATTATATGCAATACTGTCATCTTCATCATGTAAAGCTGTGCAATCTAGGTTATGAATAGAAAAGGACAGACAAATGTTCTGCTGTGAACAGTATGAAAGCTAATGCAATGTATAGGGTCTACAAACCTCAAACGTCCAGTTGTATCTCAGGAAGCCTACATGGTAATGTTTTAAAATCTCAAACTTATAGGCATAAGGTTACAAAATATATAAAGTTACAAAAGTATCAATATCCACAAGAATCTAAAACTGTGAAATCAATAATTCTACTTTTCAGGTAAGTCGCTGTGCTGTTCTGTGAGTGGATTAATTTGAAAAAAAGAAATAAAATGCCATCTCACTCCAGCCTACTTGGGAAGCAAGTAGCAACAATTTTCAACCTGCTTTTATAGTTCAGAACCTAAATAAACTGAATAACCCTGACATGCATAATCTTTGGCATCACATCAAGACAACTTCTTGAAGGAAATGCCACCTTGCATCCTATTACACATAAATATTCCTGAAAGTATTAAGTCAGCACAGAAATTGTTTCAAGTTTTCTCAGTGCACAGGAAGGTAACAGGTATCTGTGCAATTTTTAGGTACAGCTGATTTTAGAAAAACTCATGAGAAGTAAAAAGTTATCAGAATGCATCAGTAGCAGTCATTCTTTTCTGATGCATGAGCATGTCAACAAAATTTCTGTAGCCTAATTACACCTAATTAATCTTTTAGTCCTTGATTTACTTTTTTTTTATTTAAAATGTTTTACATGATAGAATAGTACTGTTTTCCCTATTTAGGGTGTTAAATTCATAGTTAGCACTGCTTCTCTGCTCTGTATCAATGCAAAGAACGCCATACTTCAGGATATAGTGTGAATCAATGCTAATTCATCTGAATTTGCACAACTCACCATAAATGGGGAAAATCAAGTTACGGTACAGATTTTCACAGTAGTTAAACATCTAAAATTATATGTTTTAGAGACGTACCTGGATCATTAGTTATCCTGTCAAGTTCTCCGGATACTATCATTAGAAGTAGAGCCTTTAATTGAAGCAATTTTACTTTTGGTTCTGAACGTGTCCAATAACAAGTTACAGCAACAGGAAGCTGTAAGTGACTGGGGAAAGATTCTAGGAAACTCATTTTCACTCCTAAGGTCTCCAGCAAAAGCATCCGACGGCATGACATAGGCACCTGAAAAAAAAAAAAGTGGAGTAGAAAAAATAAGGGAACAGACTTTATTTGCTGCAACTGATTTCCAAAACGCAAAGAAGCTTGTGTTTAAGCTAACTAATACTTCATGTTTTCTATTAAAAAAAAAAAAAAAGTTATTTGAGTAAGTTTCACAGATACTCTGAACAGGAAGTAAATTGAAATCAGTTTTGCCAAGAGTGATTTGAATGCAGGGGAACATTTCTTCTTGCAACCTTCTGTTGAACTGATAATTCACATTTATGTAGTGAGGAGAGTTGTTGTAATAGCAGAAACTCAAATTTGGTAGAGGATACATACTAGGGCCAAATTAAGGTGTCATTAAAGTTTCTTAAAACCCCAAAGCATGACTTCTCAAACTCTTGAATGTCTGCATGTTGCTCATTTAAACAGCAATAAACCTGTATCACAGTGATGGACCAGGTTCTTAATGAAATAGCCACCAGCAGGTGATAAAAACACAATGATGTGTTACAGCTGATCTGAATGCCAGAGTGGATAGAGCATATGACTTAATTATATGTAGTATTAAAAGTTTCCAAAAGTTTAAAAAAAAAAAAGCATACAAAATCAGTTATGCAACTTTGGGAATAAGATATTATTTCCCATTCAGAGGGTGAGTTGCAAAGTCTTAATCACTAGAATTTAAACATACAGAATCGCTGATGGTGACTAGAACTAACCTAGTACAAGCTGCATTTTTCAGGTGCTGTTCTGTCTGGCAAGCAGCAGGGAACCACGTTAGCAGGGTGCATACTCGTGGCAGGAGGAACTGCTGGACAGCTGCAAGGTTCACAGATGAAAAAATGGTGATTTTTAGTAAAAAGCATGTGTCAGATTTTGTTTCTGGCTTTGATCTGAAATAGCTATAGCTTGATCAAATGTAAATTAAATTTTGTAGTGTTGAATTGCACCTAAATTTCTTAAAGCTATGAATTCTCTCCTGAAATGACAAAAGCAAATAGTTTAACGTAACACATGGGATGAAAGGAGAGTGTATAATGGAAAACTTAGCCAATGCTAATATGTACTCAACACCAGCTTTTCATATAATTTGTCTTGGTACAGTAGGAGAAAAAAAAACTAATGAGGTCTGTGTAGCTTCTCAACTATCAGAAGCCAAGCTCAGAACCCTGTCAGTACCTCAGCATGGGGTATTTATTTGCTGAAGGTGTTTGGCTCAGGCATCGCCTTTAGTGACCAGCTGGCAAACACCAGTCCCAACTATTTGTTACTCATGAAACATTGTTAACCACCATCTGTGGTGCCAACCATTTACCTCTGTTAACTTCTCCAAAGCAAAATGCTCATCGCAAAAACGCGGGGGTAGGTTTGCTGCTGCTTGAACAAACGTTTTTGTAAGCGTCTTTTGGCTTCTGTCGAATTCAAACACGCCTGGAGGCTTGCTGGCCTGCTTGCTCGCAGAAGCAGCTTCCAAGCTCGGTGCTGCCTTGAGGAGCAGCCCGTAGATGACCTGCCGGATGGGCAGCGCCGTGCTGTGCGCGCTAGGCCTCTGCATGTTCTCCACCTGAACGTGGAGGAAGGTGCTTCTCAGCATCAGGGCATCGCTGAGGAACGGGGACAGCTCCCCTTTGGCCAAGCCATCCAGCACCCACTGCGGCAACCCCGAGCTGCTGGTCTCCTCGCTCTCGTACTTCCCCAGCTGGAAGAAGTCCTCCAGGTTCACGTCGGACGGCGCGTAGTCCTCCATGGAGCTGTGCAGGAGCTGCCTCACCTCTTCCCTCCGCTGCGCCTTCAGGTGCCTCACCACGTCCTCCACAGCCTCGGCGGGCTCCCCAAACTGCGCCAGCCACTCCAGCAGCCCCCTCATGAGGCCGTGTTTGCCTCGCCGCCCCCCGGGGCTGCCAGCCCGGACAGGCAGCTTGCCGAAGAAGCCCTGCAGGGCCGGCACCTCGCCGTAATCGTTCCCGCAGAGGACAGCGAAGAGCGGCAGCAGGTTTTTCTGCAGGCGGCCGAAGCGGCGGCAGAAGCCGTCGGCGGAGAAGCAGAGCGCGGGGATGAAGCAGCCGGGTGCCCCCTCGGCGGGGCACACCTCCTGCCACTGGAAGCGGCTGAGCGGGCAGTAGCCCCCCGGCAGGTCGAAGACGCAGAAATCGCTGTCGAGGGACAGCACCGGGCAGCCCCAGCGCCTGGCCAGGGCGGCGATCTCGCGGTCAGCCTCGGCGAAGCACTGCACGAAGGGGACGCGCAGCCGGCGCAGCGCCTGCACGAAGGTGTGGCGGGCGAGCAGCGGCAGCAGGCAGCCGCCCTGGCCCCGGGACAGCCCGTGGGCAACCCGCAGCCTCTCGGCGGCGCGGTCCCGCAGGGTGGGCAGCTTGCGATCGGCAGCGCCTCTCCCCCCGTCCAGCACCACCACGGCGGCGACGCCGCAAGCCCGCAGGCTGCCGAAGAACCGGCGCACGGTGGCTGCTAAAACCCCGTAGTCGCCGCCGCGGCGGAGCTCGGCGGCGGAGGAGGAGAAGCAGAGGCGGTGGTAGAGGCTGCTGCCGTCGATGACCAGCTTGCTGTCCCGCAGCCGCAGCTCGCTGAAGAACGCCCCGCGCTCGCCCACGAAGCCCGTCAGACCCAGGACGCCCATGATGGCGCCCGGCTTCCCTCACAGGGCGCCTGCGCCGCCAGCTCCTAGCGACGGGGCTGGGCGAGGCGGGACGCGGGGAGGGGAAAGGGGATGGAGGAAGGGAGGTCCCGGCCCCTCAGAGCGTGATTTTGGGGCTGCCCGCGGTGTGTTTTGGGGTCCTGGTGTCCCCAAAGCGCCTCAGGGAGGTGTTGGTCGGTGCCCGGCTGGGCGCTGTTTGGTCTGGGGCACCCGCGCTGCTGGTAAAACCCTGGGCGTCCTTCCCCCCCCGGGAGCAGTGAGGAGCAATAATTTGCTTTAAACTCGGCTGAAGGACTCCTAACAGCCTCGTAAAGTTGTTGGAGGAATCGGCTGCGCAGCCGGCGTTCAGGAGGTTTGGTTGTTGTTGTTGTTCTTTGTTTTTTAAACGAAGGGATAAAAATAAACCCAAATGCCTTCGATTTTACTTTCCAAAAAATGCTTTGAAACGGTTAAAAATCAGGCCAGTGAAGTCATAGGCAGGAAAATAAATAAATGCGAGGTAGTATATATTGGTGATATTTGGAGTTTAAATATAAAAAAATATAGGTTTTGATCCTGAGGTGGGAAACGGTAATCGGTGTAGTACCGGGGTTCTTAGGGAGTGAAGAGAAAACCTGGCAAAATGGGGAAACTTTAGTGTCTGGAAAAGTTTATCCTGCAAGTCAGAAAGTGCCAGAATATGGTAGCTGTTGCTAAAGAGACCTGAAGGAATTTTAAAACCAGCATCATACGTAAACAAATGGGGGCTGGGGGGAGTGCGGTGCTGTGCACGGAAACCTGGAAGCACCGCTCTGCCTTACCTCGCAGTAATGAAGGGGAGAGATCTACCCACAGCCAAGGAAGAAGGAAAAAATAAAGACAAAGGGTAATCTAGACAGTGTAATTGCATTAGTTCGGCTTGGCAATGTACCATGCCATAGAATGGGGTTTGATGGGGAAGAAAGGAAAATAAACTGTTTTCCAAAGTCCTACCAGATAGAGCCTGCGGATTTTTTTGAAGAAAATGAGGCTTGCCAGTTGTTTGCTTTGAGTTATCTCTAGTTGTTCTGAAGAACTTTAATGGAGCTTGAAGTTGGAGAATATGGAAACTGGCAAAAAAAAAAAGATTCAGGAAGGCTGGGCTGAAAGGTTTGAGGTAGGAGAGGCTGTCAGCTGATGGACTTGTAGAAAAATCATTCTTACAATTAAGTCAGGCTGTAGGGTTTATCAATTCTGGTGGGATATTTCTTTCAAAACACAGGGGCTCAGCAATTCGTCTGTTGTGTGCCCTTAAAATCTGACCACAACTACAGCCACTGGCCCCTGCCTTGTAACATCACCCAGCAGTAGGTATCAAAGCACTTGCAAAGTTATATCATTACTCTCATTATATATAGGGGGAATTGAAGCACGGAGAGTAGCAGGTGCAAGGCAAGGTTAGAAATAAAGCACAGCAATTAGTCGCAGTAGGGCACTCTAGCTCAAGGGTGATACCGTGATGCTAAGGGTTATAACCCATCCCCTAGGGCCAGGTAGGTATCAAAATCAGAAGGTGAGAGGTGTTAAGTGACTCTTCTGAAAAAAAAGACCAGATGGTTTAGCAGTTCTTCTAAGTGTAGTTATTTCTAAAAAGTATGTATTTTAAAACCACTGACTGTATCTGGGATTTATGAAGGCATCCATAAAACAACAACTTCCTGGGAGAATAATAAATGAAAAATATGGAAACTTTATGGAACTGGCAATATAATATTTTATGGAACTCATCTTCCTGTCATTATGTGCCCCCCTCTCCTCCCCCCCCCCCCCCCCCCCAACCCTCAACACGGTCCATTTATGCTTTCTAAAACAGATTTGGAGTTACTGAAGCAGTAGATTTTTTTAGCTGACATTCTTTGCAATTCAATTTTTTTTGTCCTTCTTGCTTTTTGTCCCTCCTGAAGGAGGACACAGAAACAGACCTTCAAGAGTGTTTTTGCTTTAAAAAAAGTACATGATCTATATCATTGTCAAGGTGGCTTCTGGTAATTACAGTTTGGCTGTTTTTCATGATATGGTGACACTGCAAAGTCAAGCTTATTGGTAGAATGTTGACAGCAGGTCAGCAGATGGCTATTAAAATAGGTTCTTGCACACACACACACACATACACTATTATAAAGTACAAATTCATAGAATAATAGAATGGCTTGGGTTGGAAGGGACCTTAATGACCATCCATTTCCAACCACCTGCCATGTGGGATGCCACCCATTAGGTAAGGCTGCCCAAGGCCTCGTCCAACTTGGACTGGCCTAATTTTCATTTAGGTCCTGCATTTTTAGAAGGTAAAGACAATCACTTGGAACTAGTAGTTATGTGGCTTTTAAAATTAAGCATTTTCTCTTTTCCAGAACAAAGCATTTTCATATGCACGCATTGACTTTGAAACGCTATGGTGAGCAAACGCGGTGTGGTCATACTGCACTGCAGCAGGCAGTGCTGATTAGACAGTTGTAATAGCTCTGCTGATTGAAGGGCCTTGCCACATCTTTATTTGTTCCAAAGGATCCTCAAGTGCAAATAATGCAAATAAAAAGGCAAGGTAATGAAAGCAATATTGTTTTATTATGGGTAGTGAAGCACCTACACTTTATCATTTGGAATGAGGAGGGTAAAACAAAGTCATTCTAAAACCATTTTCAATTATTGAAAGCCATAGAAACACCAGGGGGTTGCTTATGCAGTCCCTGCGTTTGCAGAATTAGGAACTCAGTTATACAAGAGTTACAAATCAAAGTTAAGCTGTTTGTACTGTTATAGCAAAAGAGAAAAGCAGAACTTTTGGAAGAAGTGAGTTTTAATAAAAATCTTACAGGTTTGTAGGTAGCCAGGAAGCTCTAATTTTCAGAAGATAGCAGTGAATCCCACAGAAGCTATAAGGTCAACACTGAAAGGTAGGAGAAAAAAGGTGAAATTTGAGCAGCAAATGCAAGAGCAAAGAAAACAGCTTTGTAGTTATTCATGTGAGTGAACTCAAATTATGGGTGGAGATCATGCTTCATTATATACAAAAAACACGAAAAATGAATCCCAAAACATTTTGATGCCAGATGCCGTAGTGGTATAAAGGGTATAAAAAGGGTATAAAAGGTAAATGAGAGTACCATATCTGAAGGGAACTCTCAGATGAAATAACAGGTGTACTTGTCCTTGTTCTTGCAAAAAGTGCCTTAACTTTTTCATAAATGAATGTATATACACCTGTGTTTCATTTTTCCTGTGTAATAAGTTCACTGAATTAATTTAAGGTTGTTTTAGAGGAAGGTTGACTATACCACATCTGCATTATCTGGAGTGTCTTCATCAAGTCTGCTGCCCACAGCTTAGCAACTAATGATTACACTTAATTTTGTTGTGCTGCAAGCTGAGCACTATAAACACTGCAATAGAATTAAGTGAACATTTTCATAAGAACAATCACTGACAATTTTTTTTCCTATTTGAAGTATTTCCTCTGAACATCCATGGAAGAGTAAAAGGATTTGAAAGCTGCATTCTAGAGAAATTTGTCGTTTCTGTTACGCGAACAATGCTGAAATTTCAAGAAACTGCGAAGCATGTCACTGTGGGCAGATCTAATTCTGCTTGCTCAGATGCTATGATTGCGAGAAGATACACTATTGAGAGGAAACTTGGCAATGGAAGCTTTGGAAGTGTGTATCTGGTTTCTGACAAGAAAGCAAAACAAGGAGACAAATTGTAAGTAAGCTCTTCACATGCTTCAAACAAAACTGGACTATATTTCTTGCACTCTAGATGTTTTCTCTGCATTAACTTGTGTCCTATCTCTGATTTTGGTATTATTTTGCAACCTTAATGTTCAGCTTTAGTGAGGGCATAAGACAGGAGCAGACTTTATGCTGACTCAGCATTCCAACTTCACTTCTTTTTAAAATAGTTCATTAGATATGTCTCTCTTACTGTGCTTTCATCTAGATCCTTTACAACTTGCTGTGTAAGACAGAGTGGAGGTAGGTAGCAAATCTCTGATCCTCTCCATGTAACATACACCTCTGAAGCTTTATAACTAATGATTAGAACAAGAAAAATATACCTAACTTACCTATTCCCCAGTGTCATGCCTTGGACAAGTTGCTGATGTAAGATGCACACTGTGAAAAAGACCCCTTTGTGAAGTGAAGTAAATTTCATCCTTGTGAAATTTACAATGATGAGCAGCAGGGCAAAGGTGCATGCCAGTTTTCACAAATTCTCCATTCTTCTTTGTAACATAATTGTTTATTAAAGTCTTAAAATTATAGTTTATGAATTATAAAGCTTTATAGATGTATTAAGTATGTATGTCTATAGTGTAATTGTGTAGTTTATTTTTGAAGGCTTTGCATCTTGTAAATAAATCGTGTTCTTTGAGTTCTTTCTTCAGAACACTTAATAAGATGCTGGAGGTTTGTGTTCCATTCCCTGCTCCTCCCTCTTGACCAATGTGCCATTTTTGTCTTAAAAAACACAGAGAAGGAGAATCCATTTTTTAATCAAGTCCAGCTGCTACTTTATCTGTCTCTATAATGTTTCATCCAGTTCTACATGCTTGTTAAAGCTTTTAAATTTTAAACATGAGCATGAAAATACCAGAATTTCTGAATGTATTTTAATGGACTTCCCTCTTCATTTATGATGATCTTTTACTTACTCTAGGTGAATTTTTGCAAACACCTAGTTGGTTGTTTTCAGAAATTGATTCTATGTCACTGTAAGGATGGTTAGTGAGGTGTCACAAAAGAAACTCTACAGTACTGTTACTATTTTATTTTATAATTGAGTTGTATAAATGAAACTTGAGAGGAATAGTTACAGTAATTCCGGTAAAAAACGTTTCCGTTTGCTATGGACCTTACTGACAGCAAATCTTGATTTTTATACCTGCCTGAAGTAGGACAGGTCTCAAAAGTTTGGCTGAGAGTCCCCTCAGGATTCTGAAGCCAGAAAGACTGAAGGACATTTTCAGAGTGCTGACATCTCTGTATGTGAGCTTGAAGTTGGGTACCTGGGTAATGCATTCCTGGCTGGACTTCCTCTGTAATGAACTGTGGTTGTCCATCGGTTTTAATACTTACAGCAAATGTAATTTGAATGTGAATGGCTTTGTTTTAATCTATTAAAGTTTGTGAAGCTTTTTGTTTAAAGTCTTCAACATCCAATCGATGTGGTTTTCAGCCAGAAATATATTCTTCCTTTAAATATGGGAGTCCGGGAGTCTGCCTGTCCTTACTGATGGGTGTGTTAATGAGCCACTTACATGATCAAAAGAGATTTTTCTGATTTATGTATGCCTCAGTTTTGCTGGTTATGACAATGCATTCTTGGCGATGCTGCTTTAATAAATATGCAGCAAAGACGTACTAATCTTTCCTTTATTTTCCTCCTACATCAATTTACAGCTGTAACCTTGGATCAGGGTTAGAGGCTGCTAAGCTCTTATTTTTTTCTATCTGGCTTTTGGATCTCTTTTAGGCCTAGCTATGGTCTGCTACAAAAACATTCTGTAATGAAAACTTAGAAATATTTTCCACTAATATTTCCAGAATTTTATTTTTCTTGTAGTATCAGTTATAGTGCAAATAGGATGACAGGAACCCCTTGAGCTTATAAGACCTTTCAGAATTCAGCTATTACTGAACTCATTCTTACAATATTAACAGGATATTGAAATGTGTGTCTTCAGTTTTTGTTTTTCCTGCTATAGAAACAATGCCAAATTTCAAAATTTCAATTTTCCAAGGAAAGTGTGTTTTGCTTTAAGTCGTTGTTGTTTCTATTTTTTTTTCCTTTGGAATTTATATTTGAGAACTTTAATTATTAGTTACTATATTTAAACAAGCATTTACTGTATTTCATGTCTGTGTTTTGTCAGGGATGAGGCTGAATTTGTTCTCAACCCTACTGAGGACAGATGCTGAGTATCAAATAGCATAGTCTTTTTTGTTTTATTTGTCTCTTTTTACAGCTATACTAACAAGCTAGTGCTGATGCTATTAAGTAGTTCATCATTTCAGCACTAGGGGGTACTTGTGTATCACAGTTATTCTGCGTACCTTCTGAGCCTCAAAGGTAGATTGAAGAGTGGTTTCCCCCAAATTTATATTATCTATATGCTTAAAGATTACAAAAATACATGGTGAATGTGAAACCCTGAGTAGCATAGTGAGATAGAGTGTAGCCACTTTTTTCTACTTAACAATATTGATTTCTTAAGGTGATAAAACGTAACAGAAGCAATAACCAGTATATTTTCCTTTGGGAAATATATATATTTTCAAATTATTTTTTTCTCATTATGTTTCTTACTTTTTCAGAGTATGTTTCAAATCATTTCTTACTCTTTAAAAAACCAAAAACCTCGTAGTTCTGAAAGCACCGTGGCAGAAAAAAAGAACTGAAATATTTAGGTCCTAAATGACCTCAACAGACTTAGGATTCTGTTTTTATTGTTTCAGAGATGGTCTAAAATGTACTGAGAAAAAAGTTACACACAGCATGAACTCAGCCTCAGATAGCTTGCTGAAAATTGTTAAGGTCTAAAGCACTACGAAAGAGCATAGGAGTAAATCACAAGAGTACAAATTCCCAGGATAAGTGAAATCTTGGATATGGGTACAGAAGCTGTTCAGGGATCTTTTTCAATTTTCCATTAGTGTAATGTCTACAGAATGAGTTAATGCAGAGACTAGCAATGCTTGTCATGTAATTTAATGTATGCTCAGCATAGCTTGTGCATGATTCTAGTAATTTTTGGGCATGCCTTGTAAGATACCCCTAAAAGATCTTATCTGTGGAGAGCAAAGTATTATGCTGACGGTTGGTTCAGGTGGGACAGAGAGAGGGCTGATTATTTGGGGCATGCCTCAAGTTAACAGTTACTTCACATGAAAGTCTCCACGTAGAGCTGTTCAGGCCAGCAATACCCATCTTTTGCTGAAGTCCGTGCAACTTGGATGGGATCAGGACTGCTGGCTTTCCGAGATCACACGAGATCACAGAAATCAAGTGTGAAATGGCTGCGTTGTACTGCCAGTGTGGTGGTGTATGGAGGTCTCATGCTGTACATTGCTCTTAAGTGCTGTGTTGGGTGACTCATTCCTTGCCTGTTGCTTTAGCCTCCTAATTTGTATTATTTATAATTCATATTATTTTATATAGCTTTTTATGTTCATGGTCCTGTGTGCCTTCTTTTGTATTGGGTGATTCTGTAAACCTTTTTCACTTTAATTTTGCCTTCCGCCCTCTCTCAGCTAGAAAATTACATACTGCTGTAAACAGCTTTCAGTTACAGGTAAAATCCCTGGTCATAAAACACATTTTCTAATGTCAATGAACGTTGTTTTCCTTTAAAAAATAGTAGTTGCTAATTGTCATATATTCTTTGATATGCTGTCATAGGACCTGCTCACATTTTAGTTTACTTAGCAATAGCTTCTCTGCCTGGATGACTTGCATACTGTCTTTTCCCAAGGTATATTATCCAAAAAGAAGAGGGAGAAAACCAAAGCAACGATTAGGATGCTGAAGTGGATCTACATGGTGCCCTGTGTAGGCATTTGACGCTGGCCATTGGCCAGGATCAGGATCACACTTCTGATGACTGCTCTGTGTAGCCATGTGATGAATAATTTTTCTGAGTTTCATAATAATGTCCTAAAAAGAAAAGTGCAAGTTTCTAGGTTTAGATTTGTGGCTAGGGAAGAAGGTGACTTTTGTCCTCTTTGTTTGTGTAGAAAGTTCTGCCATCTGTTCTCTATCTCCTACAAGAGCCTTTGATCCTGTTGGATGATGCTCACCAAGTATGACAGAGGGTTGCACAAAGATAGGAATTCGTGCAATTTAAGTGAAAGTAGCAGAGTAGAAAAATTAAAAAAAAATATAGCAGAGAAATAAAAATAGAAAATAAATGCCCTCATAAAGACAGAAGCCAGAACCTGGGGTGACTTCACTGTGAAAGACTGTTTCTCCTGTACTGGACAACCTGTACAGGGGAGTCATCATAGATTTCTCGCTGTTCTGTAAGAAGCTATGGTTAGAATTTCTATCACCTTAGACTCCAAGGTCAGGTAAACACAAGAGGCATGTTTGTAGGAAAGCAAGCTTCTTAGTTCCAGTTTATGCAGAATGGCTTTTGTGTGTTATTTGATATTTTCCCCATTATATATATGCAAATCTTCTGGTTTAGAGCCAGGTACTGTACGTTCATTTAAAGTGAAATTGAATTGCATAATATTGACACTACCTTTCTGTTCTAGTGGCTTCTAATGAGCTTATATAAATCTTTCTTTCAAATTGCAGACTGGTTTAGGCTTTATGTAACTGGGGTCCAAGTAAGATTTGCATGCTCCTGCAAATATTTGCTGTGGTTTTAAGTCTTTTCCAGGGGTTGAACTGTATTTAGGCATAGTAGATGGGGATGCAAATCTAGTTGCAAACTAGGTTGTCTGCTAGTGAAGCTTCATAGTTTTCAGAGTCTCTGGATTTGACTGTTTTAAGAAGAAAAAATGATAGCTTTAATTATGGTAAAAATTATTTCTGTATGTAGTTTTGCTTGTTCTCCTCTTTTTCTTCTATAAAAGTTTCAGAAGTAGAGAAGTTGGATTTGTGCCATTTTTTTTCTTTACGTTTGTATAGCTTAAACGTTAGCAGCAAGGGACAAACAGTGCTACTCAGTCACTTTTTCCAGACCCTTTGATACC